GTTGTTTAATGTTTATTATTTTAGTGTCGTGTGTTACCATAATGCTGTTTTGTATTTGTGTGTATAACATTGTGTACTACTTAGTATCTACTTCAGATTGTGGAAAAACTACTTGTGATGAACTCTGATTAATCATGTGGCTTTCTCTTTATCGCCTGTGTTTTTAAGGTGGTTGCCAACATATTATAAAGATAAAACATATATTTTAGTAATATATTAACACTTTTTAATTTCATGAAACATGTTTTTTATTTAACTGGATATCTCTAATATTTAAAATGCTGCTACCATATGTTTTACAGTAAAGTTCAACTACACTTCAACTACTGCCTTTTTTGCCGTATAGATTTCACATTTTTTATTTTTTACAGTTTAACATACTAGCAGTGTGACAGTTTTTACTCTGGATAGTATTCATGTCAAGCATTCTCAGCTAATCCAAATGAAATATATATATATATAAAAGGAATATGCTTCAATCAGTAGTAGATGAACACGGTGAAGGAAATGACCATTCAGAGTTAATCATTTGCAGTTAGATGTTTTGATGCCGCTGGTTTGTGCTGTGTTTCTATCGAGAGAAACTGGGCCAAAGAGTACATGACACCGTTTGTAGCTCTGATGGCTTCTGTCACATAAACATCCATCTAAACATCATTTGACCTTGTGGGTGCTTTACCACACAATATTAACAAAAAAAAAGTGTGCATGCAGGCTACAGAGCAGGTGTGAACTTAAAAAAATAAAAAATAAAAATCCAACAAATATCACATTTCAATGTCTGACTTGAGTAACTACTACAGAAGAAGTGTGAAGGACACACAGAAGAAAACATTTAAAGGGGTCATATGATGCGATTTCAATTTTTCCTTTCTCTTTGGAGTGTTACAAGCTCTTGGTGCATAAAGAAGATCTGTAAAGTTGCAAAGACTAAAGTCTCAAATCCAAAGAGATATTCTTTATAAAAGTTAAGAGTCAACCACGCCTACCTAAAACGGCTCGTTCTAACACACCCCCACATATCTACATCACTATGTGGGAAGATTTGCATAACGCCGCCCAAATGTTCACGCAAAGAAAGAAGGCGTAACTTTTATTCTCGCTGTAGTGTTGTTGTTGCCTCCGCCATGTCGTTAAGGCGCTGTGTGTTTCATTGTGAAATCGAAACTACTTTGTTTGGTCTTCCAAAAGAGGACGATATCGCTTCGTCATGCCTAGAGCTGATCTGTGCTGGTCGCTGAGGAAATACAACAACTTCGTGCTGTGGATCGCCGGATCTGCTTTCACTGTGGACGAAGCGGAGTCCAGCCCGGGGACGTCACATGTGGTTGCCGCAAGCATCACGATATGGTAGGGGCGTAACATTTCCGTCACACGCTTGAGGAATTCGGCCAATCACAACGCACTGGATAGCTGGCCAATCAGATCACACCTCGCTTTTCAGACCAATGAGCTTTGTAAAAATCGACGCGTTTTAAAAAGGCGGGGCATAGAGGAGAAACAATAATGTACAGTATGTGGAAAATAATGTGTTTTTTGAACCTTAAACCGCTTAAACATATTTCATTACACCAAATACACCAAATAATGTTCTTTTTAGCAACATCATATGACCCCTTTAATGGAATATCCGAGGTTCAAAATACATTAAGCTCTTTGCACTTTAACAAAAAATACTTTATTACTTTTTAAATATACATTTTTGTGAACAATTCATAAAAAAATTTCTGAGGTAAAAAAAAACATTTTTAGAATCTCCTAAATGAATTTTCCTTTTTGAATGACATCAGATCCATTCATTTCAGTAGGAATCTGCATTACCTGTAATTTTGCGTAAAGTGAGCAATACTTCGTATATCGCTACACTACTGACAGTGGGCAATCATTTTTGAATAGGCTACTTGATTATTCAAATAGCTGTTTCACTCAAATTACGGAGGTAAATTGTTGCCTCTTTGTTTAAACACACTTAAACCAAAAACATAGACTGCCTTTATCGTAATCACATTCTTATTTTGCAATTTTGCTTGTCTTTACGAACTCTGTGATGGGTCGTAATGATTTTCTGTGGTAATCGACAGTAGGGCCACAGATATTATCGACAGAGATTAACTAACTGAACCTGAAACCTGCTCAGAGGACTTAACTGTAATAGAATACATTGTTGATTGTCCAAAAATAGGCATTGATCAAAATCGGTTGTGGAAGGCAGAAGTTTTTAGCAGAAGTATGCCATCGCTATGGTGTTGGCAGAATGGACTATAATAGACCTCAGACCACACATTGTCATCCCAGCATCTCGTACCCTGAGTAGGACAGAGCTTTGATTGTTGCTAATTTGTTTACCTTCTTCCTCAAATGTTGAGTGCATACATAATTTTCTACGATTTAGCATGCATCTGTCAATCTGCGTTGTGTTTTGAAAGAATAACTCAAAGACATCACACGTTGCGGGGGAAGATAATGAACTGTCATGAACTGTTTAAGAAGTGAGCAGCAGATTCAGAACAATAGTGAGGCACAGGAAGTGTATCCAACCACACACCTTTGCACAGCACATCATTCAGCAGTGGTTGTCATAGAGATGACAGTCAAAAGTCAACCAGTCAGCTGCATGCTTTGCTAAAAACGCAACCCGTGTCAGAGACAAAAGAAAAATTAAAGCTTTGTCTTATCTGTTCTTGCCACAATCCAAACAATTATATCATCCATGCTTTAAAATCACGCTAAAGTTACCGTTCTTAATTTTAGAGACTCCTTTACCATTCTTATGAGAATTTTGGTGCGAAGTCTTCAATTGAGGCATGCGATTATCACTAAAATCTAGTTTTAAAAATCAGAAAAACCCATAATGATTGACCACTAATCAGAGAATCTGTAGTCTATGGTCATTGCTGTCCATTGATAAACTGCATCAATACACAAGATGTTGATTTATTACAGTACACAATGAACAATAAACCTTTCTGTTGTTATGACACTATATCAACACAAAACGTTGGTCTAATCTCTCTCTACTCTAAGCATAGCATACACTAAACAAATCCAGATATCAATTTATTGATACTCTGCCCTGCAGAGTGTGAAAAGATACAAGGAAAGCACATCTTTATAGGCTTTCACATTAGGCTACATTTCGACTCAGGGTTAGGCTAAGTGATATTTCACATTATCATTTTGAAAGGTGTGAAAGGTATTCAGTGTAGAAGAAAAAGGTAACACTTTAGTATGGGGACCAATTCTCACTATTAACTAGCTGCTTATTAGCATGCCTATTATTAAAGGGGTCATATGCTGCTATTTTAAAGATCATTATTTTGTGTATTTGGTGTAACAGAATATGCTAGAAATGAATGAAGGCAAATCCATTGGGCAACTCTGCATTTGCATAACAGGCCTATCAGCTGGTCTCAGGAGGCTGTAAGATGCATTACACTAAACCACTTCTTAACCAAAAAGAAAAAAAAAACAGACGTGAGAAGTTGTATTGCCTCGGAACATGGATAGTTTTGTTTATTGGCGACTTGAGTAATGGTTTAATTTAATATAAATATTTAATTATAAATTATGGGACGATTTTACATTTGGAATATTGCTTTTATGGTCTGTGTGAGGCTGACAGTGCTGTTCTCTCACATCTGAACAGTGATGGAGAGGCAGATGGAGCTTTGTCTCCCTCTGTCGCTCATAAAGGAAAATCACACATTTTTTTGTGGCTTTTTTCTTCTTGTAAACATAAAATATTAACGCAAACAGCAGCAGGTATCGGTATTTAAATCACATTTGTGGAGAACATAAAACAAGCTAATACATAAGTCCTTTAGATGTCCTGCACATTTTTTTTTGTGGTCAAAGTATCTTTCTCGACAACAGTTGCAGAGATCTTAGGATATTTTCCCTAAGAAAATGAAAGTGCCTACGATGTGTCCTCATAATAGCCCACTGTCCAATTGTACTTAGTTCATTGGATTTTAGTTGTTGTGCTCACAAGATACAAGATACACATTTTTATATCTGCTGAATGGCTTTCTGGAAGATTAATGTACATTAAGGACTAAGTTTTGTGGGGGGAAAAAAGTAAATCTATAATTTTTTATATCCAAATTCACGGAATTGTCGACAAGAAGGATTTCATTTATATTCTGAGACGCAAGCAAAAGTGTGACCAATTTTTACTAATATGTAAATTAGTTTGATGATCTGAAACATTAAAGTGTGACAAACATGCAAAAAAATAAGAAATCAGGAAGGGGGCCAACACTGTGTGTGTATATATATATTTTTTTCCACTCAGTTATGACGTTAAAAAGACATATCTCGTTATTACGACATAATTGAGTTGGGAAAAAATGTATATGGCAGCAATGCGTCACCGTAGTAAAGTAGCTTGAACCCTTTTCCCATGTTCACTTTTACACATACATTGTAGAACTACATTTGAGAATTCTAATTTAGAACTAAGAATATATAATTTTTATGAGGGTTTTAAACCGTAATGAGCTATTCTTAACAAAAGGGTCAATGTTATTTTCTTGTTGTTTGAACATTCTCCCTACAGTGAGGTTCACAAAGTTATGCTTAGAAATGAGACATTTGTAGATCCTAAATTGAATTTTGCAGACATCAAGACTTTATCAATTAATCTTCTTTATTTTCACATTTCAAATATTTTCATCTTATAACTAAGTTGACAAGAAAAAAAAAATGCAACATTAACCATACCAAGGCATCTTAAAAATCAAATAATATATAAACACTGGCTGAAAGTAAAATAATCTCAATACAGAGAGTGACAATGCATTTCCACACCACAGAAAAACAAACGAAAAAACCCCAATTAACATGACGCAACATGACTGTCAGATTACAGAGACACATCAATCTCACATGGGGAGGGGTCTAAGAGCTTGAAGATACTGAAGCTGAAAAAAAAAAACAAGTACTACAGTAGTGCATGATTTTCTGAATGGGAGGGTAAAATCACTGCATTATTGGTACTGTTGAGCTGAGTTCAGGGTTTAGGCTCAGTTTACAATTACTTACTGTGTAATACAAAAAAAAAAAAAAAAAGATGCTTTCTTCAATCCCTTTCATTTTGAGACATTGGGAGTCCAGTGCTTACACACAACGTCTTGTTAATGAATATGCTATACATCAGCCCGATGTTTCTTGTACAGATTACAACCAGTCACCTAAAAGCAGTAAGAATCAGGAAGAAGAAATCGGCACTGAGAAGCGAATTGGCACACTAGCGATGTCACAAAGTGAGAACAAAAGGCTTCAACCGATGAAAAACAGGCAGACGGAAGAGAGCACACCCACAGCCTTCCTTTTTGGCTGCTCAAGCTACAATATCAGTTAATGAACCACTTCATCTGCCTGAACTGATCCAATAAATTCACAATATATAGAGACAAAGACGGAGTCGTTCAAAATACACAACATGAAATATGTCATGATGCTATTTAAAATCCATAACACTTGAAATATTTAAAAGAACTCCAAGTTATTTTCTCATTGCAGAGTTATGCAAACACATGCATGCTTTATGCCAGAAAAAAAAAAAAGTCTAACTTTCCAGCAGCGAGACACTTGTTAAATAGAAATGGAGAAAGAGAGGGGAAAAAACAGCTAGCTTACAAATATTAAACTAATCCCCCACCTCACACATTTTGCTAAAACTGGCATAAATTTGGGAACAAAGACGATAACTGGTCAGTAACATCTAAAATAGGCTCCAAGCCGCAGATCTCTTTCTAGATGGCTAGTCTGCACCATTTAACAAATTTGATCACATTCCACCCCCCCAAAAAATTAGTCCACAGATTCTTGCAACTACAGGTTTTACACCCTAAAAGAGCTTGAAACACCTCCGGATGTCATGATTGAAAGGAATATTGCACCTTTTAACAAGACCATTCTCATGGAGTTCAGTGTCAAAGAATCAACAGTTCTGAAACCGTGTCCTCAAACTTTTTATTGTGAGGGACTGAGACAAATTTAAACTTACAGAATGTCAATTTCCAGAAAACAGAGAAATAAAATAAACTGCTTTATGAATCCCCCATCTTCCTTTCCTAGACATTTAATATGAATTCAACTGAGCCATAAGTTATGGCCATTGTATGGTGATTCTAATTCCCCTGTCTGCATGTCAGTAAAAATAAAAAAAAAAGATAATCATACATATGAATGCATGAACCAAGATTCAAGAGATCTTGTACAGTGACCTGTCTGATTTAACACCCCCAGAACGGTGAAAAAAGTGACTCCTTCACAGACATTACATAAAAAAAAAAAATCAATGGGGTGTTTTCAGTTCATGATATGGGTCAACCAATACACCTTCCTCTATAAAAATAAATAAAATATTTACAAATAAAAGGCAAAACCAGAACATTGACTAATACCCTGATGCACTTGTATTTGCAGTGACCCAGTGTATGTTATATGGCAGAGGTCTCGCTGTTTGTATGACGAGACAAAGACATATTACATTCTGAACTGTACTGAAATGCACCCTGTGCAAAAACAAAAACTTGATCCCCCCAAAAAATCCCAGCACCTTCCTGTAATAATCTGCACAAATCTGCACATACCACTGAGAATTTCCTCATGAACTAAATAGGAAAACAACCAAAATAGGGTTTGTAATGAAATAAATAACAGGCCTGTGGAAAAAAAAGCAGTAGGATTTTGTGAGTAAACATTCTTTTTCCAGTCATTCCGACACTTCCTCGTCCGTATGAAAGATTCACCCATCTCCTCTGAAGCCAGGGGGTCTGAGACCAGTCTTTATAGTCCTCCAAAGTGTTCGACTCACACAACAAACTGCTTGGAGTTGTAATCCGCTGTGTAGGCCTGCCGGCTGTACTGAAAGTGGTCGGTGAGTACTGTGCTCCGTCCGTGCTGAAAGTCTGAGCTGTGAGCGAAGGGCCCGGAGCCGTTGGACTGGGGTTTGTCCAATGAAACCATATCCTGTGCTGAAACTGGCAGCAGTTTCTTCTTGGCCTCCTGGTTGGAATCGTATTTCGCCTGGTGAGAAAAGCAATGGTATTTAAGCTGACATCGGTTTTTGCATTCCTCATTTGTGGTTGAAAAAAACAATTTCCAAGACATGTGTAAATTACCTTATTATAAAGGAAGACACCTAGTATTGCTGTCATCATGCCGATAATGTTGGAGGTGTTGACGGGGTTCCTGAGCATCAGTAGGGATATACTGATGACCATGATCCTCTTTGTTGCGTTGGCTACGGCGTAACTGAGTGGGCTGACTAGGTTCAGCACACTGAAAGCGATCATGTTTTGTGCAAAGTTGCAGAAACCGCTAATGAGGAGCAGCACGATCGTTCCTGTCCAGTTGGAAATCTCTGCCTGTAGAGGAAAGTGGAGGAAAAATGAGCGTGAGCATGAAGAGTTGGGTCGAATCATATGAAAAAGGTTTAAAACATTCCAGAGTCATAATAACTTGTACACTACCATTCAAAAGTTTAGGGTCAGTAAGGTTTTTTGTTTTGTTTTTGAAGGAAGTCTCTTATGCTCTCCAAAGCTGCATTTATTTGATGAAAAATGCAGTAAAAACAGTAATATTGTGAAATAGTATTACAATTTAAAACAGCTGTTTTCTATTTGAATATATTTTCAAATGTAATTTATTCCTGTGATGCAAAGCTGAATTTTCAGCATCTCTACTTCAGTGTCACATGATCCTTCAGAAATCATTCTAATATGCTGATTTGCTGCTCAAGAAACATTTCTGATTATTAATGGTAAAAAACATTTTGCTGCTTAATATTTTTGAGGGAACCGTGACACTTTTCCAGGATTCCTTGGTGAATAGAAAGTTCAAAAGAACTACATTCTGAACTGTACTGAAATGCACCCTGTGCAAAAACAAAAACTTGATCCCCCAAAAAAATCCCAGCACCTTCCTGTAATAATCTGCACAAATCTGCACATACCACTGAGAATTTCCTCATGAACTAAATAGGAAAACAACCAAAATAGGGTTTGTAATTAAATAAATAACAGGCCTGTGGAAAAAAAAAGCAGTAGGATTTTGTGAGTAAACATTCTTTTTCCAGTCATTCCGACACTTCCTCGTCCGTAGTAAAAACCATTTTGCTGCTTAATATTTTTGAGGGAACCGTGACACTTTTCCAGGATTCCTTGGTGAATAGAAAGTTCAAAAGAACACAGTTTCTTTGAAAAATAGAGATTTGTAAGAATTTAAAAGTCTTTACTGTCACTTTTGATCAATTTATAGCAAAAGAAAACAACATTAATTTTTAAATGCCAGTGTATGACCTTTTGGATAACTAAAATGAAGAACATTTGTAGATATATACATGCACACAAATACACATGTGTGTGTGTGTGTGTACACATCTAGAAATGTATGCGTGTGTGCACATATGCATACACACACACACACACACATATATATATATATACATACATTTTAAAAGCTATTTTTAAAACAAATAAAAATAATTCATTAAACAAAATCATTATGTCCAAACTAAACCCATTGTAATTGCGTTATATTACAGTGGTGTGGACAAAAACAATGTCACAGTGCCAAAATTCTTCATCTAAAACATTTTTTTGATTTTGGTACAACATATGAACTGGCCATATCTGGACATATTTACAGATAAACATCCTCTTATATACTCATATTATTCATATACAATCATTAAAGCCCTATTTACCAGGTCTCCATCCATCAGGAAAGATGACAGGTCCACTAAAATCCATGTGGGCAGCATAAACATAAGTGCATTGAAGCCCAGGATGTTTAGTAATTGGAGGTGGTGGATCCTTGTGTCACGCAAGACCTAAAACGACCACAAAAATTATTTCACACAAGAAGCCATTCCAGACTTTTCCTAATTGACAGAAATCGCCTAAAAGAAATATGAACCTTTTTCGAGAATATGTTCTGCAAAGAGAAGCAGAGCGTCGCTGCCAGAGCGCTGATCAATCCAGAGACGTCAAAGGACAATTCAGTGACAGTGGCCAACAGAACACCTCCAATGATGGGTATAAGAGACACATAAACCTGCTCAAACAAAAAAGAGCCAAACTCATCAAACATGCAAACAAACAATTCAAGCAACAAGCAATCAGTGACTGTTTAAGCCATTATGAATTCAGTAAATACATGACTTATTTCTAACTGTGTTTAGATGAAGACAGACCTTTGTGGTTTGCTTCTCTTTCATGATAATCCGTGACAGCAGAACCACCCAGATGGGCATGGTGGCCTTCACTAGAATGAGGGAATGAAAAAGAAGACATGCATTCACTCATCTAATAACATTAGCTATTAGTGTCGCCACATGTTCGCCTTGTGATTGCACCTGGGGTCTGAAACATCTCAGCTGCAGTCGAGTCCTCAAAAACAACGCTCACACTCCCCCTGCTGCTTCCAGCACTAATGCTGCTTCAAACTTAAAACCCACATCTGCGTCGGAACAAACTCAACTGCATCAGACGTCGCTGCAAACGGGCCTCATCGCAGGTCATCTGACACTAAAGCCTAAAATATTCAAGGAAAAATCAGAACTCTCAAGACGAGTTCAATCGCTGTGAACGGTTTTGGACAGGGTGTTATTTTACACGACCATTGAGGAATCGTAACCGAAGTATGTTACAGACATTTCATGAAGACCCTAAAGAACTATTTCCAACTTGTGAAAAACGGGCATCCAGTGTTCCCCTTTAACTTCTGAAATTTTAACTTCAATGTCTTTTCCAAGCCTGGAAATCACAATTATATCAAGCGTCCTTCAAGCAAAGTGGGAAATAGCGTAATTATGAGTATATGAACAATGAAGCCAAGTCGTATTTACAGGTGGCAATTCTAAATGATACACAAGTTGCCAAGCTGATCTGAAACACTGATATCATCATATAAAATATCTATAATCTATATATTGAGATCAGTGAGCAGAAGGCAAGTCTGTGGAGAGTTATAACGAATGATTTTGCAACTTAACCACTGAGAAACCGCTATTATAAATAAGTGAAAATAGTCATTTATCACCACATTCAGAAGTAGTTATTTGGGTTTATAGTTGACTTTTTAAGGCTACTTTCGTGTTATGTTTCAGACTTGATTATTTGAATGTTAAATGTTTGTTATGTTAGTAATTTCCAACTTGGATGTACAGGTTTTTCTGGTTCAGTTAAAAGTAGCATTATTTCCAGGTGTCTCACGACATTGTGAACCCCGTCTACGTGAACGCATAAATGAAAGCGTATTTTTTCTATTATAATACTTCTATTAGTTTGTTCTAAATGATACTGCAGTGTGACAAGTGAGTGTTTTATAGTACCTGCATGCCTCTGAAGTAGTTCCAGGTTTGGCGAATTACAATTCAATATCATCTCACCGTGTTCTGTTTTTCTTCTTCTTCTTCAAATTATGATACAAGTTTGATTAAATGGATTATAAAATGAATAGACCCACACAAGTCAAGCAGATAAAAATGCCAACATCCTGCATAATACACTACATATACTGCTTAAAACAGGTTTAAATGAGAATAACATGTCACATTGTAGGACACCACTGTCACTGTGTGACTTTTCAAACAATAATTTACTACCAAGTCCTAACTTATCTTTCAAGTTGTCTTTTTTTGAACGTTTGTAAAAAAAAATATAATATTAATAATGAAAAAAAAACACACATTTCATGTCTTTATGTACAGTTCTACTCTGCTAATATTCTATTATTGTAGATTTGGAAGAGAACGCTATCAGGGTCTGATAATAATGATGGAGGGCATGTAAACAAAAGGAGCTGAAGCTGGACTAGTCTTACACGCAGGTGGATGATGTGGCAGTATTATTAGGAGTCCGGAAGTGACGCACTCTGGGACTACTTCAGTAAAGTGGAGTGTTTTCAAAACTCGGACGCAGACAAATGACCCGAGTGAGTCATTAAATCCATATTACGATTGGTTTCCTAATGTTTGGATGAAAGTGGAGGTTTACATGGGAAACGCGCAGTTTGATTTCACGGCTGAGATTTGTGGTTAACGACAGACAGCGATAAATGAATAACCTGCGGCGATTCAAACTCGATTAAACGAGCCGAGCCGAACCGAACCGAGCCGAGCTGAACCGAACCTATCCGACCAGCCTGGGTCTGAATTGAGTTCGAAGAATAAGGCCTGTAATACTAAGTCGCTAAACCGTAAGGCTCCCGATACTCACCAGTGTGCGCGTACGACACCGGAACCTTCCATATGCTGAAATGGGCCGAGACCGAGGAGAAGTATTTCCCGAAGGCGAGCGGCAGAATGAACCAGCGGTAGTAGTGGGCCGGTAACTCCGTTCGCGGGACGCTCCAGGCTCGCAGCAGCGGCGGGAGAAACACGATGATGGAGACTATATGGAAGAGAGACACCGTGACCGGATAGGGGAAGCCGTTGAGGATGATTTTATTGACCACGTTGCCACCAGAGCTGACGGTGTACCAGCACATACACAGCACCGCGATGCGAATTCCCTCCCGCGCCGGCGGGCGCTGCTCCACTGCGGCCATCTTTCAGCGCAAACCGCGACCAGCGACGCTGGAGGACTCGCTGGAGAAAGAGTCACGTGACTCTGCGAGGCCACGCCCACACCAAAATCAGTATGGTGACAGGGGCACGTTCAAGCTCAAACCGGTGCGCAACGTTTTGCTACGGTTTCCGGGTTGAACGACATGTTTGGTGTGCAACCGGGTTTGAGATACGTTTTCTCTTGTTTGGTGGGTGTGTCAAACATGTCAGCCCAATCAGCAGCAACATGTATATCCTCCTGAGAACCAGAAATATAAAGCCTTGTGAATTTAGTATTTTTTCATATCATTACATTGTTTAGAGCATAAGAAAAAAACGGTAAAATAACATTTTTGAAAAATTATATTTTATTCATAAGTTATGCAATGTCCTCTGTAGAGGACACCGGGACTCAGTTTTTCTAAAAAAATAAAATGACAAGAGTTGACATGAAAAGGCAAAAACAATGGGAATTTTTTTTAAATCGCCAATCAGTTTTTAGGTTCAATTGAACGACATGTTTGGTGTGCAACCGAGTTTGAGATACGTTTTCTCTTGGGTGGGTGTGTCAAACATGTCAGCCCAATCAGCAGCAACATGTATATCCTCCTGAGAACCAGAAATATAAAGCCTTGTGAATTTAGTATTTTTTCATATCATTACATTGTTTAGAGCATAAGAAAAAAACGGTAAAATAACATTTTTGAAAAATTATATTTTATTCATAAGTTATGCAATGTCCTCTGTAGAGGACACCGGGACTCAGTTTTTCTAAAAAAATAAAATGACAAGAGTTGACATGAAAAGGCAAAAACAATGGGAATTTTTTTTAAATCGCCAATCAGTTTTTAGGTTCAGGATTTTTTTATAGCTAACTTTGTTTAAGGATGGTTCTCAACTATGTTATAAAATATATATAAAAATGATTTGATATACCATTTCGCTTTACGCAATATGTGTGTAGAAGTGCCATAAACTGGTTTTCCCATTAAGCACAATGTTATCTATACACTGTATCTAATTTGCATATTAAAGTGCTGTTGGGACAGCATGTTGAAAAAAGAAGTGTAATAATGGGAGTAGTAATTGGCCAGATTTTCATAATAATATCTAATATTTCATAAGAATATTGATATGTAATTTGTTTTCCTATTCAATTCTTTTGTCTCCCAAAATGTATAATAAACATGCTTTTAGTCCTGGTGTCCTCTACAGTGGACATGTATGAAATTATGTATATTAAGTCATATTTTGATTTGAAACCCCATAACATTTTCCGGAGATGTTGATTTATGACAAACAATTTGAAAATTAATCAGATTTAAATTATAATTACAAAATATGATCATATTTCCATAAGGATGTACAATTTTATCACTAAATTAATGTCAGCCATTTTTAAAAACCAAGGAGAGGGAGTGGTAATGGGGAAACATCCAATCATTTGGTATCTCTGGAAAGCCCTGAATGTGCTCTGTACAGGACATCCAGACTTACAACTGTGACATGTGCGGTCTCAGAGAAATGCACTCAAATATAATGTCCACTACAGAGGCAAAAACTCCATAGCTGGGTCTCAGGAGGATATAAACCATGCGAGACAGCTCTAGACAGCTCGCATGATGTAATTAACATCAAAATAAATTCCCAAGAGCAAGTATATTGTTTGCACATGTTTATTTACATTAAAGACAAAATAACTGAAATAATAAGAGCACAAGTATAGTTCTGGAACTTATTTAAGTCTGTCTAAATATCATTCAGTAATTGCAATGTCTTCTGGTCCATATCCTTTCCAAAGGAAGGTGTGCTATAGACACTGATTAATGTAACATAAAAATACTATACATATTTATATATTTTGTTATTGTATTTTGGAGTGACACTTTCATAAGCTTTTCTATACCCCTCTGATTATATAATGGTAAATATTACAATAACATAGCACAACAAGCAATAATGATAAGCCTAATACTCACAATAAAAATAATAAGGTCATATAGATCATAACACAGTCTCGGAGGTAAGAAGTGGATTATCCTTCACCTGGGGTGTATTCCAGAAAGCACGGTTAATTTACCATCAGCTAAACCCTGAACTTTCGGTTGATTAACCCCAAACCTTGCTTACTCGAGGTATGTGTGGTTCCAAAAACGCGTCCGGGAGTAAGTTCATTCAACTCCGAGTATGTTCCTGGTTAAGACTCAAGACATTCTCAACAGAGCGAGGAATCAATGCTGTTTCTTTCTTCTTCTTTTCTTCAATGGGCGTTTACATGCTTAGTGCATATCGCCACCTAATTGATGGTTGTGCAATCATTTTTATTTCTTTTCCGTCTAATCTTTAATCCTTGAGAATATGAATTATATTGTTTGTTTGATGCTAATTATATATTAAGTCATATCAGATATGTATTTTGATTTAGAATTGAGACATTATAGAAAATGCCGATCCATGTGTGAGATGATAATATAAAATGTAATAAATAAATATGAAACATTACCTTGTCATAGTGTTTTACAATTTATACAGATAACTGTTATTTATGCCAATAAAATAAATATAATAACCATATTAGAATAATATATTACCTTATTCAGACCAGATGGTGGATCAGCACCTAGAAAGGACCTCCACAGCCCTGAAAGACAGCGGAGACCAGGACAACTAGATGAGCCCCAGATACAGATCCCCTGTAAAGGCCTTGTCTCAGACGACCACCGGGACAAGACCACAGGAACCAGATGAGTCCTCTGCACAATGTGACTTTGCTGCAGCCTGGAATTGAACTGCTGGTTTCGTCTGGTCAGAGGAGAACTGGCCCCCCGATTGAGCCTGGTTTCTCCCAAGGTTTTTTCTCCATTCTGTCACCGATGGAGTTTTGGTTCCTTGCCGCTGTCGCCTCTGGCTTGCTTAGTTGGGGACACTTCATTTCCAGCGTTATCGTCGACTTGATTGCACAGACACTATTTAAACTGAACTGAGCTGGATGTTGACATCACTGAATTCAATGATGAACTGTCTTTAACTGAAAAATTAGTGTTTACTATTGTCACTTTGCATTATTGACACACTATTTTCCTAATTAATGCTGTTCAGTTGCTTTGACACAATCTGTATTGTTAAAAGCTCTATATAAATAAAGGTGACTTGACATATTTATTACTTACATTAGCGCTTCATCATTAGCATATCATACAAATATATATATATATATATATATAATAGGCTATATTACATATTGTAATATTATATAATGTTGTGCGCTATCTGTCACGCCCACTGTCGGCTCGTCAGTAGATCACACGTGCGCTGAAGTGAACTAAACCTGGAACATAACCTGCTCTCATCGCAGGCAGGTTATCTTCAGAGAGCAAGTTGCTATGGTTACTTACATACCCTGAAAGTAACCTCCGATTTTGGAACCGAAAGCTGAGGTTATCCGCTCGCTTATCCTCAAACATACCCGGGTATGTCACATAACCTGCTTTTTGGAATACCCCCCAGAAATGTTTGTCTTTTCATCCTGAAATGCGAGGCACATGTTGGATCACAATAATTAGGAACCACAGTTTCCACAAATCCCTTCACTCGATTGGGATGTTCTCTTTTATTCTGGAGGGCAAGGGCAGTGACTGTAACATCGAGCGTATTTTGCAGTATTAAACACGTATTTATACCGATTTCATCAGGCTCCGTAAATTCTTCAAAAAGAGCACAAAGAATGGCCTTCTCAGCTGCCGTAGTTGCAACTCTTGCGTCATCAGAACAGGGTGTTCAACGCACCACCGTTTCCGTTTAAAACACGTTTTGCAACGTTTTGCCGGTGCTGAACGCAGCCCAGCTGAGAGAGTTTTGTTAGATTCAGGAGAAAGGTGTGCTGTTTGTTTAGATCGGGTTCATGTTATTGTGTAAATATTGAGTTTATAGCCAACATACAGTTACGTTGCAAATCAATTTAATGGCGCAATGCTCAGTATTTTGCCACCACAGTTGTCAAAAACTAAGTTATTTCTGAATTCTGAAAGCTTACGCTGTCTGAAGGAGATCCCATCTAATTCATTATAGTTATAAAGTAACTGCAGTTATTATATTTTTGTGTTAAACTGTAGATCCTGTTTTCAAATAATAAACTGTGGAGCACATAAGGGGACGAAATGGGAACGAATTACTCGCAAAACCTATTCTCTTGCAAAAGTAGGCTACAGTATTAATTCATTCATTTTATTTGATTTCGTTTTGTTTTATTTTATTTTACTCCCATCTCTTCACAAAAGGTTTGCCAGCAAACTGATAATTTCTCACGGGAACGCAAAAGGTTTGCGAGTGTTTTCACAAAAGTATTTTTTCTCTCCCACCTAATAGTTTTTTCCTATCACCAAGTCCCTTTAAGGGCCCCTGTGAATACAAAATAATATAAATAATCTTAATTATTTAGGCCCCTGTAGAAAGATTCTAAAAGTGCAATACAACAAGTAAGTCACAATCACATACTACAGGGTGTTTACATTTTTTTTAAATCAGTATAAACGTTTTGCTTGCATGTAAGGCATTTAAGTAGTAAATTCAGCCATCTACAGGAGACATCGAGGCACTGCAGTGACATTCTAGTTGATTTGCTTCAGAGAGCAAATCAACTAGATCAACTTTTTTTATATATATATATATACAGTCACTGCCTTTGCTGTCCAGAATAAAAGAGAACATCCCAACCGAGTGAAGGGATTTGTGGAAACTGTGGTTCCTAATTATTGTGATCTCAAAAAGTTGCCCATGTGTCATCAGTCTATTTGATGGGTAAATATCATTTAAAGCAAAATACCTTAAATTTAAACCCAGCTGCACAGTATTTGCTTCTGATCTACATTTATTATTGACTCCACTTCAGAAAGTCTCCTCCAATAAAAATGCTTTGAAGACATCTCATAAAAAAAAAAAAAAGGAAACCTGAATTTGACGTAAACAATAGGTCTGAATAAGATATAAACGTATGCAATTCATACGGGAAATAATGTAGCCTATTAGATCATTACATGAAATCATATTTTAAACCTATATTTTACATAGATGATTTAAACATATATCATTTTAATCTCTCAATTCTGACTT